GGGTTATTTATTACTTCGACATTCCTACACTTAGGAGAAGACATGTTGGTCGTGTCAGTGACTGTTATGGATCCATGCTTAGTTGATTGTATGATTAGAGGTCAGCCAATTGATCTATTGTATATTATAATAAGGAATTTGATCATGCTGCATGATCAAAAACAAAAATCTATTTACGGTCAATGTCTAACTATTATATTTGAGCATTTTGAGATTTTATTGATAGTTATAGATAAGACACCGTATTTTAAATTAATGAAGATAAACAATATAACCTAAATAAAATGAAATATGTGTTAAATAAGGATGGTGCATGGGTTTTTAGAGTCTAGATGAAGGTTCACGCTAAGGAATAACATGATGAGGAAGAAAATAAATATAATGGTAATGATGATGAATTTGATGGTATGTTTGAAACATCACCACTAACTTCCTTGCCTAAAGATGTGTCGAGTTCTTGGTAATTTAGGATGGAAAACTGATTAACACATAGTAAGATGGATGTGTGTCATCTTAGAGATACTCAAATGCATATTGTAGCTAATCAAAATAATATGGTCGATGACTTATAGGATACTAAGACGATGATGGCCAATTCTCTCTCTTGTTATCCACCATCCTAGATGTTGTACCATGAACATATGCATATTTCAATGTTTTTATATTTTTATTCTCCTTTTTTTTACAATGAATCTTGGATTATTTTTGGAGACTATGTAATGTATGGCTATTCGTGTTTATAGATTCCATTATATTTTTATGCATATTTTTATCTCTCCATAATAAGTTTTTGTTGATGTCAAAAGGGGAGAAATGAATATAAAATGAGTCATTGCAAAAAAGGGTGAATTGTAGTTCATAATATATGCATATATGTAGGGGGAGAAATTCTAATTTATTTATGTATAAGTATTTATTGAAAATACAATTTTATCTTATTTACTTATATAATGCTAGACTGTTTAAATATTTCTTATATATTGCATAGCAAAAAACAAAGAGGGACATGTATTTCATATCCAAGTTGCATATTAATTATCATCATAAAAAAAAAAGAGATTGTTGATCCTTAGGTCATACATTTATGTTTTTATATATATTTTAAAAATAAAAATAATATGAAAATTGAACTAATAGTATAACTTTAAACAAGTTTTATGCAAAGAACATATCAATAAAGCATGACAGAAGTCTAAGAAGAAATCAAAATGAAGAATTAGTTTAAGTATTTAGTTTTAATACTCAAAATAAATCTTTAATTCTACTTGATAGCATAAATTAAAATGAATTTACACACTTCATTTTGCATTTATTTAAAAGGATTAATAAAATGATTTTAGGAATTTATTAGGATTAAAATTGTTAAAACTGAAATTTTACATGAACTAATCAACTGTTTAGTAATACAAAAAAAACTTATCGATCACTTATTCATATATGATGAACATCTAGAAATTCTATAGGAACTGATTGAACAATTATCTTGACCAATCTGAACTGGTCGACTATTTTAGTTGTCAAGGCAATATTAACAGGTATAAATGACTGTAAACAACTAGTTTTTGCTAGAAATATATATATAACTTATCAGATGGTAGAATTAAAAAAAGAATCCAAACATATAATATATACAAGATATTTTAAAAACAAAAACACTTCAAGATCATCAATCATTAATCATACTCATATTTGTGCATTAAAACTTTCATAATCTTACACAAGAGTATATATTCTCATTCTCACAACATTTAAACATTTTTCAATCAATGAAGTGCTATCTAATGACATATAGAAATACTTAGATTTTCAATTGTAAAATCCACTCAATTAAAAGAGTAATTTTGTGATAACAAAATCACATTTGTAAATCCTTTAGAGTTTGAGAAACACTTTTGGTATTGGTGAGAGATATTGTCACAAAAGAAAAATCTTGAAAAGAGATGGTGTAAAAAGTTTGGTGTGGACTCATCATGTGATAATTGTACCTTTTGACTTGGACTAGTGAAGGAATAAAATACTCAAGTATGGTTTGATACTAGAAGTGTGGATGTAGTTTTGTTGAATTTCGATGTTGTTATTGTCTTAATCCTAAAACAACATAAAAAATTATTTTTTGCTTAATGATATGATAACAAAAATAGACACTCATAAAATTAAACATCAATCAAATACAATGACATTTGTTTAAGACGACAATAACTTCATATAGAAAACAAATCAAAACAAATTATAAAAAAAAATTCAAAATCAATAAAATATTGAAGGGTAAAGTCAGGAAAAATAAAAAAAATTTAATCGAAAGAAAAAAAATTAAAAGATGGAATTTAAAAAAATGTAAAAAAAAAGAGACCTACCTAGCAAGTCAACATTGAAATCTCTCGACTCGACTCTTTACCTAGTTTAAGTTTAAAATTAACACGTATGAGAGTAACCCAACATGTCCCAGTTCATTTGGTGGGTCCAAAAACAACCAAAAGGAATTGTAAAAATCATGGTTTAACTTTTTTTTTTTAAAAAAAAACTCAAGATGATATATTTTTTTTAATATTAAGATGACGATATATTGGATCAAACAATGCTTCGCCGTATAACCTCCTAAACTTACAATCCAGATCATAAACTCTATTGGGTTTAACAACTTTTTTTGAAAACTATATTTTACTTAGTGATATAATAACAAAAATAGACACTCATAAAATTAAACATCAACCAAATATTGAAACGTTTGCTTAAGATATCGATAATCTTATAGAAAATAAATTGAAATAAATTATGATAATCAATTTAAAATCAATAAAATATTGAATGATGAAATTAAAAAAAAATTAATAAAAAAATAAAAAATAGAATTAAAAAAAAAGGAGGAACTCCTTCATTGATCATATAAAACAGTAAAGAAGTTATGATTTTACCTCAATTGTTTTAGTAATATAGATAATTATAACTTTGTCTCTACATGTTAATAATATTTACTAATTATTCCTTATAACTTTAGAAACTATATATTTAATTTCTATGTTCTTAAGTTCATTTATAATTTAATTTCTTGGTAATATTTTTCTCCTTATTTTTTCTTTATTTTCTGAATTATAAGAACATGGTGGGGGAAAAGGAGATATTTTAGATAAAAATATATTTTCAAAAAATCTTATAAATAAAAGAGAAAGGAGCAACTTTTGATGAGAAAATGACGTATTTAAGGGGAAAACAATATTACTTGTTTAATTATTTTAAAAAGTATTATGCAACTAATTAATTAATTTTGATGAAGTATATACTCGATTAGTTATTGTGATAATGATTTTTTTAAAATTTTTTTGTTAAGAAATATATTAAATTAATATTTTTTTAATTTTTTAATATTAGTACATTAGAACAATTTCAAAAAGTAAATAAATAACTTTAAAAGAATTTAAATTTCTATAAAATACTATTTGGACCGTGTCTAAGTCTATTACATACATTACCAGCCTTTATTTTGAGGTTTTCGTAAACTAGTGGCAAATGCAAGAAGTGGCAAGCACAGCCCAAAAACATAACCTCGGATGGAAAGAGGAAGCATCCACATCTAATTGCCATTACGTTTTTTTCTTTTCCTTTAATTAAAAAATCATTTATTTTCTCCACTTGACAACATATAAGGCAAAGCAGCTCCCACCCCTTCTCTTCTAAACATATTCACAAACATCGTGTCGGTGAATATGGATTTTCATTCTAACTATCACCCCTCTTTGTAAAAAAAAAAAAAAAAGAGAAAGAAAAAGAAAATTTTCCATCCATAAGGAATTAGTATCGACGTGTTAGCTCACCCAAATGACACCCCTCATTCTCCAAGACTCATTCTCCAAGACTCATCACAGCATCTCCTCTCTGCTCTCTTCCCAATCCTAAAAACTAGTTGCTTTGCTTTCTTAATTTTTTCCATGAAAACTTGTCAAGAATCCGAACCCTGAATACCCTGTTGAAAGAGCAAAAGGAATACATATTTTAAAACAAATATTGGGGTGAAGGGTTTTTTTTCTTGAGGGTGTTGAGAGATCGATGGAAAGCGGGGTAGACAAGGAGATGGCGACAAGAAAGAGAGGAGGGATGGGAAGTGAGAGGCAATACAAGGGAATAAGGATGAGGAAGTGGGGGAAATGGGTGGCTGAGATAAGAGAGCCTAACAAAAGGTCAAGGATTTGGCTTGGTTCGTACTCAACACCTGTAGCGGCGGCTCGCGCTTATGACACCGCCGTTTTTTATTTGAGAGGACCGTCGGCGAGGTTGAATTTTCCTGAATTTTTGGCTGGAGAGAATTTTAGCTGCGGTGGATCATATGGGGACATGTCAGCTGCTTCTATAAGGAAAAGAGCAACCGAGGTTGGAGCTCGTGTCGACGCTTTTGAGACAGCGTTAAACCACCACCACCACCGCCATCACGATGACCGTCAAAGAAATAGTAGTAATAGTACCAGTAGCAATGATAATAATGAAACGGTCGTTGATAGTAGAGAGTTAAAATCACGGCCGGTTGACTTGAATAAGGTGCCTGACCCAGAGGATTCCGATGGAGATGAGTGGGAGAGGAGTTTAGCCACCGGTGGTAATCCGATGGGTTGCTAACATGGCCAAAAGGAGGTATGTTATATGGCTGATCAAAATCATGAAGCCTTATATGTGGATTTATCACTTTTAATTCTAGTATTTTACTTACTAGTCAAGTACTTGATGTTTTCCCCTGGTTAATTTTTTAGCTAGTTTTTATTTTTAGTTGATTAAACTTTTTTCCTTATTTGATTATGGTAATTTAGCAAATTTTGGTAAGTGTATATTACTTGGTTTATGACTCAAGGATGTTTATATATATTATTCTGTGTTTCCATAGAATAACATAGGATTCGAACTCGATGCCTCTTTTGTTTTCTGTGAAGGTTGGACCCTGTATTAAAGGACAATCAGTTATCCTTTCCTTGTTTTGTATTCATGGGAAATGGATGCAACAGAGAGAGAGAGAGAGAGAAAGAGAGAGAGAGAGAGAGGTCTGAGGATTTCCCGACTAGGCAAGATTTTCGTTTTCCTTTTCTTTGTTTGAGAGAGCGAGAGAGAGAGAGAGAATAGATGAAGCGCAGAGCTGGGGAACAGGAGGTGGCCTACATAGCCAGCAGTTGGTGCAAATAGCCATGCTAACCACTAAAGTTATAACTACTAAAGTTAAAAAATTTTGAGTTAGGTATTTTCTGGTTCTGCGCTGTTGCATAATTTGAGTTGTGGGCACCCCGGGGGTAAAGAGAGACAGATGAGAGTGATTGCTATCGTACTAGTGCAAGCTGACTATGGTCATGGGGCCAACCTCGTGGGTTTTACTCTCTCAGATTATGTCAAATCACCGCTCCCGACTTAGCAAGAAAATTTGGCATTCGCCATTAATCCCCCAAACCACTCAGATCTTTTCGAGAATCGTGTAAACAACTTGCCTGCCACTGCTAGACGGTAGAGGACAAGCAACTAGCTCTCCATTAGCGGATGGGTGTCTTGATTCCTGCATTGATAATCACTTATCCTCTCCCAGATAATTTGCAAGTTGTGGGACACATAATTTCAGGTAGTTCAACATTCAATTAGAACCAAGCTAAATCACTGTTCTTAGCCACAGCATAGTGGGGCAGCTCAGGTTTTTTCACCAGCACGTTCCTTGGCCCTGGTTTAAACTGCAAAGGAATCACGTCTGCCATGAGTAAATATCCAGCAAAAACAACAGATATGCAGAGTCTTAAGCATTGTAAAGAGCTCGAAATACTTCCAGGCATAAAAGATGTCCAGCTGGGCAATATCAGCAAAGAATGGTAAGAAGATTCCAAATTCAGAAGTGAATGATTTGCTGCCCTTGGTCCAAATGTTTCTACCTGATATTCCTAAAGTGCTTGTTCACAGATATTATGTGGTCTCCAACGAAGACTGCATTTAGCCAACAGAAAGGGATTGGCATAAAATCAATCAGCATAATTTCACTTCACAACTAATAGTAACACGCCCTCTTTCAATTTTTTACCATGTAAGGCTACTCCACTAGGAGTTTCAGCAACCAGTTTGACAACAAAGGTCATAGCAGTCATCATCGCTTTCAATTTAATCACTGTCCAGATTTAATGCATCGCAAGGACGAGCAGACAAATATCTGCTAGTAGCTTATAACATCATAAATCTTAAGAAACCACCATCATGATCATACTAGCGTCTTGAGATGAACCATTAATGGCTCCTATCGCCACTAATCCTTGTTACTATAACTCATATTACTATACTAGGAAGAGTAGAAAATGATGTGATCAAACACGAGCCAAAACTATATGTATAAAGCAGCCAGCCAGCTTCTTTTGTTGCCGAGCTCACAACAGCTCGCATAAACAAATCAGGCCCAGCTTGCCATGTTGACTGCTGCATTTTTCCTTGAAAAAAAAAAAAATACGGGGATGCGACGCTTTCCTTTCCATGGCATGTTTTATATGCAAAGCAGCTCATACAACATTTCCTCTTGTGATAATTCCAACCTTCAAGTGAAGGAAAAATGGCTGATTAAACCACGATTAAACATGATTAGATGATATTGATCAATACAAAAGTCTGATATCTCTTACAAGCTTGCCATCGGCATCCACAACTGGTAGTCTACGGTATTTTGTCTCAAGTAAATAATCTGGCATTAGATAAAACCAAGTCAGAAGTTAATTTTGGCCACAACTTATCAGAATAAACATAAACAAAGTGAAGGGAATATTCAGAAAGATCAACTTGGAAAAAAAAATATGGAGAAAAAGGCAGGGCTACTGTACCTTACAGAATCCTCAAGATTGGTGGCTTCACGAACAACAAGTGGTGCTGGTGTCATCAAGTCACCAACAAACTTCCCATTGGTTTTATTGAGCAACATTTGTACCTCATTGAAAGTCTGCAATCATCATTTACTGTATTGCATCAGCAGATTACATGGTTGGATGATTGGATCATGTGCAACATCTCATCAACTCAAAGCACTTGTATATTGTAACTCGTTGGTTTTCCAATCTTGTTTCTTTCTTTTGATCTAGTAATCCATCTTACATTTTGAAAAAAAAAAAAGCACATGAATTGGCAACTTATTTTTCTCGAATGAAATTTCATAAAGACCCCATATGTGAAGGATAGAAAAGTGCTAGCTAGAGAGTAACTTCTGGTGCTTACACTCTCACTATAGTGCTAGCTCACGTTGTTGAAAAGTGTTTTCCTTCCAAATTTTTCAATATGCCTAAAAATACTGTTGAGATATGATAGAAGGAATGAGTTTGATGCAGACAAAAAAGAAGAAGAAGAAGACAACAAGTACAAGTACAAGCAACACAAAATTCTACATAATAGAGTTACCATAATGATTTAGTAATGAAACAAATAACTTATCCTAAAAATCCTCCTGCATCATTCTTCTTGGCCGGAAAAAAACTTATTCTTGAGTTCATGTTTTTAACTTGATCTCATCAATGTCCAATCAAGACTCTTTAATTTATTTTTTATTACTTTAAGTGTATAATAGTTTTAGATATTAACTTTAATTTTTTCATGTTAAATTTTGTATAAACAACATCAATTGATAAATAATTTCTTTTTATTAACTTCTAGAGTAATAAATTACAAACCATGAACTTGCTTCATCAACATATGTTGAATCCAAGTAATATTTAAACAAATTTATCTTTGAGATAATAAATAATAAGCTTATAATCAAAAGGATTAATATAGCCTAAATCAATAATTTTCTTTACTCAAGCACTTTTAATATTCTATTTGCACTCAACCTCTAACTTATTAATGACAACATTATTGATGACATCATTATTGTCATTTGTATAAATGTTTTTGCCATCATTTTCAACATGTAATCATTATTAAAATAAGTATCATAAATTGATAGTTAATTTCAATTCATAAAATAACTAGAATCATAAAAAAAAAAAAAATAGTTTCAATATCATAATCATCCATATCAATAAGGTGCCTCTTTTATTGGTAATTCTGAAATGGGTTCTCAAAATAGATCATTAGTCCATGATCACTCTCCTCAAGTTTTTTCTTCTCCATCTTTGCTAATTAACGAGATAATTTTTCAACTTATCTTCATAATTTTATCATTGCTAATTAATAGGTTAATTTTGCAATCTATCTTTATATATTTTCTATCACTAATTCTTAAATGTCTTTTTCTTGAAATAGAACCTCTTCATCCCCTCCTACATGAACATGTATAGCAACTAACCATCAGGAAATGTTGAGCTCTGATATCAACTAATATAGAATAAAAGAACACAAGAAAAACAAGAATGATTTAGTAATGAAACAAATAACTTATCCTAAAAATCCTTCTGCATCATTCTTTTTGGCCAGAAAAAACTCATTCTTGAGTTCATGTTTTTAACTTGATATCATCAATATCCAATCAAGACTCTTCAATTTATTTTTTATTACTTTAAGTGTATAATAGTTTTAGATATTAACTTTAATCTTTTCATGTTAAATTTTGTATGAACAACATCAATTGATAAATGATTTCTCTCTATTAACTTCTAGAGCAATAAATTACAAACCATGAACTTGCTTCATCAACATATGTTGAATCCAAGTAATATTTAAACAAATTTATCTTTGAGATAATAAATAATAAGCTTATAATCAAAAGGATTAATATAGCCTAAATCAATAATTTTCTTTGGTCAAGCACTTTTAATGTTCTATTTGCACTTAACCTCTAACTTATTAATGACAACATTATTGATGACATCATTATTGTCATTTGTATAAATGTTTTTGCCATCATTTTCAACATGTAATCATTATTAAAATAAGTATCATAAATTGATAGTTAATTTCAATTCATAAAATAACTAGAATCATAAAAAAAAAAGTTTCAATATCATAATCATCCATATCAATAAGATGCCTCTTTTGTTGGCAATTCTGAAATGGGTTCTCAAAATAGATCATTGGTCCATGATCACTCTCCTCAAGTTTTTTCTCCTCCATCTTTACTAATTAACGAGATAATTTTTCAACTTATCTTCATAATTTTATCATTGCTAATTAATAGGTTAATTTTGCAATCTATCTTTATATATTTTCTATCACTAATTCTTAAATGTCTTTTTCTTGAAATAGAACCTCTTCATCCCCTCCTACATGAACATGTATAGCAACTAACCATCAGGAAATGTTGAGCTCTGATATCAACTAATATAGAATAAAAGAACACAAGAAAAACAAGCACTAGTAGCTCAAAGTTTTACACCACACAAATCCTAATTCAAAATTTATTACTCAATGTTTTCTTTTCAAGTAGTCTCTTGAATTACAAACTTAATAACTCTATTTATACCAGTCCTAGGCTTTACTGAATAAGAAAAATTCATAAACTAAATAATTTCTTAACTAAATAGAAAGAATACAAAACACTAAGAAAATATTTTTTTAAACTAAATAGAAATAAGGGTATTAACAAAACAATAAAGATATGCCTAAAAATATCTTTAGTGTTTTGTTAATAATCTCTAAGGTTCATAATTACAGACAAGAAGAGTGCTCATAAAAACCTAGCAATATACATTATATGCAAGTGAGCAACTTCTAAACCAGTCGGGGAAAGCAACCATATGCCCTGCACCCTTGGGATTTCATCTACGAGTATGAGTTGCATTGGTCGCACAAATTCCCTCAATTGTTATTCAAGGCAGTACAGAATTGCCAAGTGATCTCAAACTCAGCTCAAGTCAATCTCAGTTGATGTCTTGAACTTTGCCATTTTTTTCCAGCCCTGTCCATTCATAGCTAATATAATCAATTCTCAAACCATTCACCCATCAGTGGACCAGCTCTCATTATCATCGTCATCATCTTGCCTCCCTAGGAATATGCTAGAAATGCAAAATTCAGACTACTCCAAATACATTACCCTTCTGAATGTCGTGTTGCTAAGAGGTTGGTTTATGAAGCTCCATACAAACAATACTTGGGAAAAAAATGTCAAAAGGTGGGCAATAAAACATGCATGTATTTGCATTGAAAGTGTGCAAGTCTGGATTTGAAGAATGGAGAAAGTTCTCACATACTTTCCAAGTGCTGTCGACTTCAGGAAACATGTCAGTTTCGGTTCTTCCACCACCTAGTTGAAATATTGAAACAGATCCAGAAGAAATGATAAATCACAAATTTTTCTGATATCAAGCATATAGTTTGATGTCAGTTACATATAACTTCATCTATATTGTTGATTCAAGAAATTACTACATATAAGGACAAAATGAATTGTTCTTTTCTTTTTCTTTTTCTTTTTTTAAAGAAAAGACAAGTTAGGATTAGCTTAATTATTTTTAAATCACCTGATATGGAGTCCAATGCTAACAAGTCATAATCTGACACAAGACCATCCTACAATAGCAACGAACATTCAAGTTATTCCCACAAGTTAATTGTGTTAGCTCATAAGAAAATTGAAAATAAATTGCACCCATGGATTATAATCATAATCCCAGAAAGAGATGGTTATAACCAAATCTAAAAGAAGGCATAAACACTCATACAATAGCACCAGCAAATTAAAAGCAATGGCTTAGAATTTTCTTTTACAATCTGTTTTGATGCATCCAGAAAATTTCTTCATCATCATCCCAAGCTGATTGAGGATCGTTACAATTTTCAAATCAGGTTTTGCTATCATTCTTCATTTTCAAAAAATTTGGTCAATGATTTTCCAAGTGAATAACAGCATCCTGAACTGGTTTGTTGTTACTAGGAGATAAAAAGCTGAGGCAAAAAAAACCCATGTGTGTTGTTAGTTTAAGCAGCAAAGACTGCAACAGACTCTCAGATTGGGGGACCCTGAGCCAATTTGGATATTCAATGTCGGATATCTTGAAATGCCTTCAGAAAGTGAAACGAATAACTTCAAAAAATAATAAGATCCAGAAATCAGATGTTAATTGTTATCTTTATTTGGAAACCAAAAAGGGAAAGAAAGAATCGACATTATTAATAACCAGACCCCAAACCAAAGAGTAAGTCAAGGAAGGGTTACCAGTTTCCAATCATCATCAATCACAGGAAAACCAGTAGTTCTACGTTCTACAAGAGTCTCCAGTGCTGTTAATTAGAAATAAAACACGGCACATTAGGTGTTGGAAAAACTATGTGCACCCCTTGGATAACATATAGAAATCTAACAAATACCTTCATTTACAGTTGTTGCCGGTTTTACTACATGCAAATCACCTTTCTTCGTTCTCGTAGCCTATTTTTGGATTATTTTTTAATTTATATTATTTTAAAATAAAAAAAATATAACAGTTAAAAAAAATATTAGAGCACTCTAAAAATAGTTCAAAATTAATTGAGAAAGTTCAAAATTATAAAGATTAAAATTTAACAGTATTTTATTGACAAGTAAGAGTCTTGTGGACAAGAAAAATTCAATTTGAAGAAGAAAAGTTCAAAATCAGACATTTATCGACTTAATTCAATTTTTTTGAAAGTTTAATTGAATTTATAGAGGGTTTGATTGATAGAAAAATTGATTTTGGAATTAATTTGAGCTTTAATTAGAAGAAATTAAAGTTATAGGATCAAATTATATTTTTTAAGAATTAATTTAGTCAAATTAGAGGCGTAATTACATAAATATTGAAATTTGACAGTCAATTAGAGACTTAATTGGAGAAATTTGAAACCAAGGACCAAAATGAAAAACATATGTAAATAGAGTGGCTGTAATTAAAACGAATCAAGGGTCAAATTAAAAAAATTAGAAGTTTATTACTCAATTGAGGGTCAAATTACATTAATACGAGACTAAGAACTAAACTAAAAAAGATGGCTAACTTTAGGACTGCTGTTTGATTTTTAGCAAGGATATAATTTTATTAATTTTTAAATCAAAATTGCAATTTAGGACTTGATTAAACAAATTACAAATCGAGGACCAATGTGAACTCTAACATATTTTTGCTTCTTTTTTTTTTTAAATGAAACGATGTGTTTTGTCCAAAACAATGTCGTTTCATACATTGTTCACATAAAAAAAACCTAAACAATACTGTTTTGAACGACACTATGTGTCTTCTTCTTTCCCTAGACGTGCAAGGCAGGGGAAGAAGAAGATTTTTTCATCGACTTCTCTCCTCCCCCTCTCTCTCTTAAATATCAAAAAGACGTCAACCATAACCATTTGTATAACCTTTGACCCATGACCTACTACAAGGCACTAAACACATAAAAAAAACCTAAACAATACTGTTTTGAACGACACTGTAGGTCTTCTTCTTTCCCTGGACGTGCAAGGCAGGGGAAGAAGAAGATTATCAAATCTTAGATTTTGATTAGAAATTAAAACAATACAACTTATTTTAAGTAGGATATACTTGGAGTACTAATACATTCTCATTACAAAACTAGACTTTGTACTCTATTTTTAAGATCAGTTAGGGGTTTTAATGACTAAAAAATCAAGTTATAATTTTTAATCTATATTTTACTGATAAAAAATAAAAAAAAATTATGTCTCTATATTTTACCCACTAGATTAGATACCTATCTATCTCTAAAATTTTTTAAAATAAATAACCACCCGCAACACTGCTCCCGTGCTATACTTGTCATAAATCGGCTGCGCATCAGCAAGTCAAAGAAAAAGAATCAGATGGAACCTCTCATAAAATTCTCCTCGTTTTTAATGGTATTTTTCAAACTTAGGGCCAATCTCAGACCCAAACCCAAATCTTGACATTTGCGGCTTTTGGCTACAACTCCAACAACCTCAAGTACAATAAATTACAAAACTGAATTCTTTCTCCATCACAGCACCAAAATTAATGACATTTTCCAGAAAGAATTCCTTAATATCGCCATCGCTTACCCTCAACAACACACACACAATCTGAATATGGCTTTCACACCAAAATTCAAATCCTCTCCGTAGACAGCCTTACACACCCGACATGCACAGGGTTAAATGGCTTTCTTCCTATCTCCCACCACAAGCAATTAAATTAACCAAAATACCAAAAAAAAAAAGTAAGAAACTTTCTAACGAAAATATTGAATTGCTAACAAATAAGATAAAAAAATTGATTAAACAAAGTGAACAAGGGTGAGAAAGCGAGTTACAGAATTGGCCATCAAAACAATACAGCTTATTTTAAGTAGGATATGCTTGGAGTACTAATACATTCTCATTACAAAACTAGATTTCGTACTCTATTTTTAAGACCAGTTAGGGGTTTTAATAACTAAAAAATCAAGTTATAATTTCTCATCTATATTTTACTGATAAAAAATAAAACAAATTTATGTCTCTATATTTTACCCACTAGATTAGATACCTATCTATCTCTAAAATTTTTTAAAATAAATAACCACCCGCAACACTGCTCCCGTGCTATACTTGTCATAAATCGGCTGCGCATCAGCAAGTCAAAGAAAAAGAATCAGATGGAACCTCTCATAAAATTCTCCTCGTTTTTAATGGTATTTTTCAAACTTAGGGCCAATCTCAGACCCAAACCCAAATCTTGACATTTGCGGCTTTTGGCTACAACTCCAACAACCTCAAGTACAATAAATTACAAAACTGAATTCTTTCTCCATCACAGCACCAAAATTAATGACATTTTCCAGAAAGAATTCCTTAATATCGCCATCGCTTACCCTCAACAACACACACACAATCTGAATATGGCTTTCACACCAAAATTCAAATCCTCTCCGTAGACAGCCTTACACACCCGACATGCACAGGGTTAAATGGCTTTCTTCCTATCTCCCACCACAAGCAATTAAATTAACCAAAATACCAAAAAAAAAAAGTAAGAAACTTTCTAACGAAAATATTGAATTGCTAACAAATAAGATAAAAAAATTGATTAAACAAAGTGAACAAGGGTGAGAAAGCGAGTTACAGAATTGGCCATCAAGGTGCCACTACTTGAGCTGCTATAAAGGCAGGAGACCTGCGAGGCCAAGAAATGGAGGATAACGAGACAAGTTTCCGTCCAGGAGTAGAAAAGAGAAGGCAGGGCATCTGGTGAGTGAGGGAAACAGCAGATGCTGTGGTGGTGGTGACGCACAGGCGAGTGATGGAGAGAGAGTCGGAGTGTAGAATCGAAGCGTCCAGGTGTCGGCTCTTTTTGGATGGTTAATTCTGGAGATAGAACCGACGACTGTGTTTAAGCGAGGTCGGAGAAGAGAGACACAGTAGACCGCAGAGAAGCGTGTGTGTGTGTCTTTTTTTTTTTTTTGAGAATATGTTTTTATTATTAATTGTTAATGATCAAATATTTATATCACTAATGAAATATGCTTGATTTCTTCAGCTCTTCGAACTTCCTTTCAATGGAGTTTTCACTAGTCTTCCTCAGCCAAGAGGATGAGCGTTTAGAAAGTTTTATAGCTTACACTCTTTTTTTTTTCTTTTTTTTTTTTAACTTGCACACTTTTCATTATCCAAGTATTGGTATTTTCTGGAACTTTTGTTCTTCATTTCATATGAGTTGCTAGATTAAGTTAACTTTGCATGATAGTATAGATTGTATTATTAACAAAACACTAAAGATATAGCTAAATTATTATAGTCACACCTATGAAATATTATTTATTAGAATAGTGCTTTTTATTTTGTATTTCACCTTTAACAACCCAATTTTGTTTATTTTTATTTTTTAATATTAAATTATTTTGAGAATTGTACTTTGTAATTTCAATTTTTTTATTAGATTATGTTATGGTCTCATGAATTTATTTATTTTTTATTAATTTCAACCTTCAACTAATAATTTGTTGGGATTGGAGAGATTTTCTTTTAATTTTCTTTATTAATTTTTCTCTTAATTTTTCTCAATATCATAGTCTTGGTTATGGATTTAATAGGTTGATTCACTCAATATCATAGCCTTGGTTATGGATTTAATAGGTTGATTCAGGTTTTTCTTACTGCTTTTTCTAATGATTGTTTTTCAATTTTATTTTTAAACACTAGATTGTTTGAACATTAAGCTTTGTGATTTTTTTATTTGTATTATAAATGATTGTCATAATCTCATAACTTAGATTGTGAGTTTAGAAGGTTAACTTGTGTTAATTTGATTCATTTTTTGTCTTTTATAATTGATTTTTTTTATTTTACCCTACAATAATTCACTCTTTTTTTTTCAATTTGTTTTTCAATATTATGTTATTTAAGAATTAAGCTTTATATTATTTTTTTAATTTGCTTCTAGCAAAGTTATCCCGACCTCATGAATTTATTTATTTATTTATTTATTCTCGATTTCAACATTCAATATTGAATTTATTATCTTGGTCTTATGACCTAGATCATGAGTTTAATAGGTTAGTTCGAGTTGACTTGAGTTTTTTTTTATCTTTTTTATTATGAGTTTAATAGGTTAGTCCGAGTTGACTTGAGTTTTTTTTTTTATTTTTTTTAATTATTTTTTATTTCATCTTTCAACAATTTATTAGTTTGAAATTAGACTTTGTAATTTTTCTTTTATTTTCTTTCTATAAGGTTATTTTAATCTAATTACTCTAGTTGCAAGTTTGGAAGGTTAACTCGGGTTAACTTTGTTAATTTTTTTGATCTTTTTTAAATTGAATTTTTTTTAATTAAGATTCATAATTTTTTTCAAATTATTTTCTATGAGATTATCTTGATCTTATGATCCAAGTCACGAGGTTGACAAGTTAACAAGGGTTGATTTAGTTTATTGTTTTGTCCTTTTTTAATTGAATAATTTTTTCTTTCAATTTCACGCTCCAGCAACCCATTCTTTTTTCTTTTTATTTATGTTTTTAATTTTATTCTTTAATATTAAGTTATTTAGGAATTGGATTTTGTAATTTTTTTAATTTCATCATTCAACATTAAGTTGATTAGGAATTGATTTTCATAATTTACCATGATTTGTTTTAGGGTCATCAAGATCTCATGACACATGTCGCAGATTTAATAAATTAATTATGGTAAATCCAATATGCTTTATCTCAATATTTGAAAACAAATGTCATCTAATATGTCACTGTATCAAAGTTTAGAAAAGATATTGTTCAATATGTATCATATTATGAATTCATGATTTTTTTTTAATTAAAAAGCATGTTAGCAACACTTGGATACCTTTTTTTTTTACTTTGAAAAAAATATTCGACCATTAGAACAACATGGGCCAATGATCTAGTGTGATAATTTTCGTTCATTGCTTCTACTTCAAGATGTTTTGTCTTTGATCTTCTATTAGTTTCTCATTATAAGTATTTATTCTTGTGTTGTAGACTGAAACTGCATTTTTAAAACAACACAAAGTGTTTATTAGGTGGTGTATTAGAATAACAAAAGATGTGGAGTTTCTATTTTGGGGTCTTTTGATTTGATATGATTTTTTTTTTGTTCATTTTTGGTAGATATAAGAAATTTGAGAAAGAAAAGAGGCCTAGAAAAGGTGGGAAAAAATTCTGAAAAAGTTGTTGTTACATATTTTTAACCCCATAAAAAGATCAAGAAAAAAAAGAAGAAGAAAAATCCAAAAATACAAGAAGATACATATGAAGAAAGCTCAAAGATTGCCTAGGTTGGTAATGAAAGACCAAAATAACAAGTAGAAAAGTTGAAGGGCTAGAATGTATAAGATTGATGAAATTGACGACCCACTTCTGATTAGCAAAAGACCCCTTGGATAAAAATTTAAAGTTTAATGGTCAATTGAGGATCCAATTGAACAAGCAAAAAATCAAGGATAAAAAAAATGACGCTAAACTTCAAGGCTAATATTTGAGTCTGGTAGGGGTTAAATTACATGCAATTAAAATTTTGTATTAAATAAGGGTGCATGTGCCATAATTAGAAGAATAAAGACTAAATTGAAACTTTGCTAAAATCCTAAATTTAAAATCCTAAATTCTAGGGTTTAACATAGACGATGCGTTATTTAACCTTTGTTATCTTCTTCCTTACTAATTTATGATGATCAAGTTGACATCTTCCTAGTACTTATTGTGGAGTTCTACACCACCAAAAGGCATGAGGTTTTTTTCAAATAGAAAAGGAACATCCTTTCTACAATCCTATTTTCATGAAATTAGATGTCTGCATCCAAATTCTATGGAATTCTCCAATATATTATTTCTAATCAACTATCACTAAATTTTTATATCCTAAGCTAATCAAGTTGGCAC